GCTCACTTTACAGTAATAGAAAGTTTGACCAAGAACCAAATTCATTGGCATTCTTTTATTCCCTTAATACCTGAGCTATTCCTCAATTTTGCTTTTCTGAGAAAAGTAGAAGGAAAAAGTGAATATTGAGTGCCACTCGTGGCTTCATATCTTAAATTCCTGAAGAGCTTTAACTGGGGCTTTCTCAGTCTTGGTTTTCCTCATTAACATCACCTGTCTGTATACCTCCTTATTTATAGCACTCAGGAGCCTGTTGCTTTCAATATGTACATCAGAGATTTAACAACATCCTACCAAAAGGTCTCACACTCTTCAATTGTTTCTTCACCTAAGCAGATGTCCTTTGCAAGCCTTACAAGCAGGCCTATTGATAGAACATGGGATTCAAATGTAACTTGAAATAAATACTAATTAAAGGTATCCGCAGGCAATTTCAGTGAAAGATTGAGAAAAAGAAATGAGACTGTGAACTTTGAAAAGTTATCCTATATGGCAATCTATTTAATAGCATCCCCCCACATATACAAAGATTTTTAAGGAAAGGGGGGGGTGGGTATCAATGGTATTTGATGTGTTAAAGAACGATCAAAATAAAATAGATTGGAACTTAAATGTGTTATTACTTTGATGGAGATGAAAAGATAGCCAAGAGACATGGGGAAAGAGCTGTGCAGTTAGGGTAGAAGATAATAGCACAGTGCAGTCTCTACTTCTCTGGATTTCACGTTAACTACTGTGGATTCAGGAACTGGCTTAATGACTTTTCCAGGATTTGGTCTGGCCTTTTATCAACTCACTATAAGAACATAAGCCAGGAACGCCTCAGAAGTTGCTGCAGCGTAACATGCCCTCCCACCATCCTGCCATTTGCAACTCTGACCACTGGATTTGAGCCTTATGTCTGGACAGGGCAACTCCTAAAAGCCAATGAACTAGCAGTAGTCAGGGAGTCAGTGAAAAATGAGAGAGCATTGGGCATTTGGACACATACATTTTCTCTCTTTGCTCATGCTGTTTTGCCACTGTAAAATGCTCAGTTAAACCTAATTGAATTTGACAATAATAAATGACATATTGAAACTGTATAGTCCACCTAAGGAAAAGCAATGAAAACAGTGAAGACACCAGAAGCCAGAGCTCAGGAAATGTCATATTCACATAGAAATGCTTTAAATTTTTCTCAGGGCTTTATTGTCTCTTTTTTTTAAAGGAATGTTCCAGACCACCCAGTGCAATAAGTTCTTTTTGGAAACTATACATAAAATCATCACTTTAATTCAGCTTTTTGCCCCAGTTGTCATAATACAGCCTTCAGCCCATAAATAAAGAAGAACTGGCTGTCAAAAAAGAAGAAGAAAAGAGCAAAACAGATCAACTCCCCCTCCCTTGTCCTGAGAAACTGAGCATGCCCTCCTTGAGGGAACTTGTAGAAGTTCAGAATCTTTGTAAGGATGTTAAATGTAAAATGAATATTTTACATTTCTCCTCCATATTTTCTTCTTCTGCACCCTCAGTGCTCTGCTAAGTCCTGTGTCTGAGAAAAGCAGTGCTTGACTTCCTTGTAAGAATACAATTTCCACAATCTTTTTTTTTTTTTTTTTCATGCAGAGGAAGCCTTATTTACAGAACGTGTTCATGTCCTTCCTATCATTCCACTCATAATAAAGGAAGGGCCATAACCACTTCCATGCCAGTCTTGTCTCCCTGATCCCTACCCCCAACGCCCACCCACACCATACTTAAGTATGCCTTTTGCCTAAAACCTTGTAGACTAAACCATTTACTATATCTTTTATATAAATGACACGGGAAGAAGTAAGAAATTCCATGAGGAGCAGTTAAGTATAAAACATCTGGGATGTCCCTAATCTTTCCTGAGCAGTTGCCTGGTCTAGATGTTGGTTCAGTAGCAGTTGGCTGAGAGAGTCCCTATTTTACTTTGATGGAACCTCATCCTTCCCCTTCACAAGGGCTCTTGGTCTAATTAAATCTCAGGGAAACAGAGCCTTGGCAGCAGGTTAAAGTAAGCTAGTAGACTGGAATGTAGGAGGTGGGCTTAAAACTAAATTGTGGAGTTTAACTGGGTACGTCTCTGGTTTCAATGAAATACTTTTACAGTGTATAGTAGCAATGTCTGTTCCTAAGCTTTTCAAAACCATTTTTCTTTTTCCTTAATTGTAGTTCCCTGGTTGTTTTTATATTATGAACTACTTGTAGAAAAATACAGGAAGCATAATTACAATACAGAGCTCCTTTCCCAAGCCTACTGAGATCATTTGAAGCCAAACTGGGTTTTAGGGTTTTGCTAACTATAAGTTGAGAGCTATGAATTGCATCCTATGAAATGCTGGTTGATTTACAGCAAGTGTTATGTGATTAAACAATAACCATGTTTCTTCAAGCTGTGTAACTGCTGCAGAATTGAGGGAAGGAGGGATGAGGACTATGTTGCTTCATGATACCACACTTCATAGCTCCTTGTGGGGAAAAGAAGGAATAGCTCTGTGTGACTCTAACAGCAGAGTACAGCTATTGTAGAAATATGTACACATTTACTTAGGAACAGAAAAGAGAAATACTCTACTTTGTTTTCCGTGTATATTTCCATATCCAGGTAGTATTGTGTTAAATTGCTAATTGTTCATTTTTGTATTCTACTTTTACTGAAGAATCTGTATATGGGCTTTTAGGGGCAGCAGAAATAACTTGTTTTACTGTTATTGACACTTTGGAAATCAGTACTTTTTAGTGTATTAGAAAATGTAAAGCCTTTAGGAGTTTGATTTTTTTTTTTCACCCTAAAAAATAATGATTATTGAGAATGCGATTTGTTGAATGTACTCTTCTAAAGTAAAATTTCAAGCAAACAGTACAGACATTCAAAAGTAGAATGCAAACACCCATTGGTATGAGAGGCTTCCCAGTAAAGGGGACACAAAGCATCTAGTGCAAAGCGGGTACCATCATCACCTGACCTTTCCCATTATGCATCTGCAGCAATGTCCTCTGCCTGCCAACTTCATTCAGGGAAGTCTGAAGGAAATAAATGAGAAGAGCTTTCAACTAAAGCTTTATTATATGTTGCATTCATTTAATGTGACTGTTTTACGTTGTTGTTTAATATTGTGTACAGCCAAAATAGAATGTCTTAATGTTTTCATTGTATCAGAATTGGCATGCATCAGGTATAGGTGAAGTCAGACTGTAATCTTACTAGCTACACATTCTTCCCTTTGTCTTGGGGTCTCACATCTTAGATAATACATTTGTATATTGTTGTTATGTGCCATCGAGTCGGACCCGACTCATAGTGACCCCTCCTTGGGTTTCCGAGGCAGTATCACTACAGAAGTAGATTGTTCCATCTACCTTCCGAAGAGTGGCTGATGGGTTTGAACCGCCAGCCTTCTGGTTAGCAGTCGAGTGCCTTAGGCACTATGCTACTAGAGCCCAGCTAAATATTTATGTCACCTTCAACAATGGTCTGTCTTAAAGTCTTTTTATTTTATCATCCTTCTTCGTTTCCTTCCTTTCTTTTTGCAACTCGTCTTGAAATTCTCATCTTAATTTGCATCTAAGGCAGTCTTCAGAGAGCTGTAATAAAGAAATGGGCAGGCAAGGACTGAGTAGGATTAATTTCTTCTCTAATTTTCTTTTAGCCAGCCTTCCTTCCCAGCTAGGTTCTTAAGTGGATAGAAATGAACCACAGCCCTGGTGTGTGTGCGTTCTCCTCCTTGTACGGTAGAGCTGACAGTCACAGTCCGCCTTTTCTATATTGTGATAAGCCTTCAACCAGTCAGGCGGGATGAGTGATTGAATATGAAGCAAATGCTAGCCCCAGCCTTCTGTTGGCTTGAAAATTAACCTGCTCCTCCACCAGAGCCGCTAGGGAGCAGGAAAAAAAAAAGGGAAGAAGTGCAGAGAAGCTGCAAGGTGCTCCTGCAAGTTGTGGTTTTAAAAATCCTGGTTGCATCTCACCTGTGGGTTGTGAAATTAATTAAGTGGGTCGCAATTAGCATTTTCTATGGGATGGATTAGAGTAGACAATATATAATACTCCTGAACAGTAAATATTGTGTCGTAGAACTTTAGTTTCATTTTGTGTGGGTGTGCTGGATGTCAGTGTAAAGTGCAATTCTTACCGTGGGTCAAAAAGCCTGCGGCGCCCCGCGCGGGTTGCACCGGAAAGCTGGGTCTGGCCGCTCTTGGGTGTACAGAAGCCGACGCCCACGGTAGAGCCAGGGGAGAGAGTACCAGCCAAGACTCGGTGGCCAGACTCCCCAAGGCTGCTCAGCCCAGATTGCGGCTGCCGCAGGGCGCACGGGACCAGCCGAGCGTTGTCCAGCCCTCTGCCCAGGGACAGGAGCACTCGCCTAGACACTCGGCGTCGCTTCTCGAGTTACTTGCCCCCCAGCGTAGCTGTTGACTTAGTGAAAACTAAAACATTCCGCTGTCCGAGGAGACAGACGCTGTGTCACCACGCGCGGCTGGGAAACAGCCCTATTCGAGAACTGGAGTCCCACCCGAGGTGCCGCATTGCAATCGGGGGAGGGGCGGGTCCGCCTGGTGATTTATTTACTCCTCTTTTTGCCGGAGAAGTGCAGTAATTCGAAACAGTTCTCACAGTAGCGTCCCTGACAACTTAATGTTAAGGGAGAAAAAAAGTCATTAAAGCGTTCATAGGACGCAATGGCGGGGGTGGGGGCGCGGAGAGGCTGGGAGCGAGCTGGGGATTGATTTCTTTTTACGGTTTTCAAGTGGCCTGTGCAGTGTATTCTTAATGCAGCCTCGGATGATTTATGGTTCCTAGCGCCGCAGCTGAAACTGCACTGCCAGAACCCAAGGAGGGCAGCATCCCTGGGGCTTGTTGCCGCGGAGAACTCCTGCGCGCCCCAGAGCGCCCGCGAGAAGAGCGTGTTTGGGCGCGGGGCTGGGGCGCCCTCCAGGGCCCGGCCTGCGCCCGCCCCTGACCAGCTTTGTCTTTTCCCCCTCCCACGCAGGACTTTCTGCAGGGAGACTGCTCCAAAGCTAAGCAGAAGCTCAACTGGCAGCCCCAGGTCACTTTTGATGTAAGTTTACATTTCAGGGTGCGGGGTGGTGTGGGTTGGTCCAGGGTGGCGGGGCGAGCGGCTCAGCCGCCCCTCAACGCAAAGCACCTCTGCCCTGGGAGGCCTGTCCTAGGCCGGGAGGACCGTGCGGGATGCAGGGACGAAGGGAGAGTGATGGTGTTGGGGGGTCGCGGGGCGGGAGTGCTGCGAAAAGAGCAAGGCTGAAATCCTCTCACCTCTCGCCCCCTTTCCTGTGCCCCAGGAGTTGGTGCGGGAAATGGTGGATGCGGACGTGGAGCTCATGAGGAACAATCCCAACGCCTGAAGCCCCTGGGCTCGGCTCTACTGCCTCCAGCTGGCTCCAGCTGGCTCCATGGGCCTCAAGCCGGGCCGGTGGGGCAACATCCGTGTGCTGCCATCCATACCCCCTCCCCGCCGAATTTGTAGCAGCCGGGACGTGGCTCTGGGTCCGGCTTTCCTTCGTTGAAGCCTCTTCTGAATGGTTTGGTGAAATCAAGATTTAATCACATATTCATTTCACTTGAAATTATGTCGTTAGACAACTGAAATTTTGGGGCCTTCAAATTGTGTTTCTCTTTTCTTATTAAACATGACTTTTCTATGAACAGCATCAACCTAGTTGATGTGGATGATTTCTCCAAGTTATATAAAACAGCTATAAGGGCCTCCTAACCCCCAAATCTTCGCAGCTGAGTGAGATTGCCTCCAGTTGTGAGAGCCCCTGAGCTGCATCTGACCGGGTCCTGCCCTGTGGGAAACTGTCCACTCGGTCCGCAGCCCGGCCGGTTGGTTCCTGGGGAGGTCCCTTTGCCATGTTAACAATAAACTCCTCCACCATACGCTGAGGAAATTCCAGTCCGTGCAGAAGTGAGGCATCCATTCCATCACAGTTGGCTGTAATTAGAACCCATTTGGAGCGCCGACCACCTCAAAAGATAGCTCGAGAAATAGAGGGAGGTTAGAAAAAGAAAAGAGTCCTCGTAGTGCACTGCTTAACTGCTCAGCTGCTAAAAAAAATTAAAAAAAAAAAAAGGCAGTTCAAACCCACCAGCAGTTAGGTGGGAGAGAGAAGTGGCAGTCTGCTTTTGTAAAGAATACAGCCTTGGAAACCCTATGGGGGCATTTCCACTCTGTACTATATAGGGTTGGCTGAGTCAGAATACACTCCAAGGCAAGGGGGTTTGGGTTTTTTTGGGTTTGTTTGTTTGTTTGTTTTTAAAGAAGAGGAACCATAAAGGTAAGTAAATATTGTTGGAACATTCCATGCCAAAGCCCCTGGGTTACCCAGAGGTCTCTGGGCCATACCTTTCCTTTTGGGCTTAAATCTGCCACACAATATTCTAGATCACTTTCTAAATCTAAATTTGATTTATTCATTTTGAGAAACTTATGTTAAATGCCTATTACATGCCAGACACTGTGCTACATCCTTGAAGTGTATCAGTGGTAATTAGAAATTATAACAAAGAAGTTTAAGGTCGGCTTCAGATCACTGGGACCAGTTTCATTGAGTGCATCATCTAGGCAGCCTGGATTTGACCACAGGTGTGTCTGCCTAAGCTATGTATAGTATGTCTGTATGGCTAAAGGAAGGTTGACACACAAATATATAGAACCCCCAAAAGCAGTAAGCAAGGATTTATATGCACACAATGGATAGTACAGGTGTATGCCTCCATGAAGGACAACATTTTGCCCTAGAGCAACCAGGTCAAGACTCCTACCCTCCTCAAACAAAATAAATAAAACTTAACAGCAAATGGAATCCCAGCCTTTGCACATGATTGGGTGTGTAGTGAACTATTTCTGACTGTCTTCATAGGGAAGTTTATGATCTGGGGGAGGATGCAGGCTCCAGGGCTGGCGGCAGGAGAGAAGGCTCTTTGTGTGGCTGCTGGAGGTCAGGGTGAAAGCATGCTGGCAAGGGGTGGCTTCGGCTTCCATGGGGCAGAACCAGGGCGGCCCCAGCGCCCATCCGATTCTCAGAAGCCAGCCAACCGCGCCTTCCCCACTCTTGCTTGGGATGCTACTAATTGGAAACAGATGGTCCCTTGAAGGTTGGGACTCCACGACTGGGCAGACTGGGACACACACATACACATCACATATACAGTCACACACAGACAAATACATCCACATACAGATAACACAAACACACATATCCACACACAAATACCTACTCACGAACACAAACACACAAATACCTACTCACAAACACAAATACCCAAACATGCTTTCTCACACTGCCACACACAAGTAATTATAAACACAACCCACAAATATGTATCACATGCATTCACTCACACTGTCACACTCAGAAACACCTATAAACAAACTTATATGTGTACGTTGTTCCCGTTGGCCCTCACCCTGACCAGCAAGCAGCCTTTCCTCTTTGGCCACCTGAGCCCCCCACCCCACCACACCAAGAGAAGCCTTGCAAGGGCCTTGGGGCTTGCAGTAGCCCCATTTAATTCAAGGTTCCTGTGGCTTCTTAAGGTAAGCTCAAAGCCATAATAAGCTCTTCAGTGGGGAACAGGAGAGATTCTAAGCAGGGTTTAATGCGACTCAAGTGGAACCATAATTTCAAATTATACATCTCAAAATGGACTGTAGCATCCGTTTTTGAAGGAAAACAAAAAAAAAAGTATTTTCAGTTGCAACCTTCTCGTTATTACTGCACCCTCAATCATGGTGGTCCACAGGGACGCATTTGACTTCCCAGCCTCCCCTGGGTGTGTGTTTAAAGGGAGAAAAAGAAGAATTTGCTTCAGTATTTCCATGCTTTCTTTCTGTGTTGTGGGAGAATTTCATTTGAACATCCTTCATGACAATTCTTATTAAAAGGTTTCTTAAATCTCAATTCAGTGTCAGTGCAACTATTTTTCCCCTCTGGTTTAGCTACTCATTTTAGGTGTAATAAAATATTTTCTACCTTGATTTTTTCACTAAAAACTAGGAGTCATACTTTCAGTACAGTCAAATATCATGGTACAGAAGTCAAACCCACCAATACCTGGCCCACTCTATAGTCTCACTTTCCATCTGACCTGCCTGCTAGAACCCTGTCACTGGCTGTATCCGCTGCCCTTTGTTTTTAAGGAATTAGGAGAAAGCCAGGCCCAGCATAATAAACCTGTCACACCTCTGCAGCTGTTCAGGGGCAAGGCTCTATGGTGCAGGCTAGCTAAGAACCTTAAGGTTGGTGCTGAAGTGCTTTGGAATGTTTTGCTCCCCCAAGATGGCAGCAATGGTGTTCCAGGTGAGGGTAGATCTGGGTTTCCTTAACCAACACCAACCACCAAGATGCCTTGAAACCTCTGGTTGCCCATGATTGGCTGCTAAAGGAGACCTTTCTTGTATTATTAAAGCTCAGCATGTATTAAGAGGCAACACTTAAAATTTTAATTTTAAAATAATAACCTTAAATGCATTGTTGACAAATAACTCTAAAAGCCTCAAAGCAGCCCAGGCACTTTGTTTTTATTTGCTATTCCAAATAGGAATTATTCTCAGGGTGAAGATGTACCCCCAAGGAATCCAAGTTCATGCAACATTGGTTCTCCAAACCTTCGTCCTGCCTTGCGCGATAGGTGGATGGCATTCGTGGGGTTGGGGAAAGCTCCCACCCGGCTCTTACGAAAACATTGTGCTTCTGCGTGCGCGTGGACGTACTTTTCAAACAGATCTACACGTCCCAACATATCACCAGCACCTCTCCATAAATTTTGAGTTTTAATCGGTGAGGTGTCGAGAATTTGAAAAACCAGGAGCGACAACTGGAACACAAACGCAGTTCCGGGGGCTAGACCCGGTTTTGGCCCACCCTCCCCAGTTCAGGTGTCACACTGTCCAAGATTTCCTGGGCAAATACACAGGGTCAGGGCCCAATTTCCTCCTAGGGGCTTCTGGCTCCCCGCAACCTCCCACCTCACTTCCCGACCTCATACACAACCGGCACCGCAAGCCCATCCTCCGAGGGTAGGTCGTTAGGGTTGCTCCCCGAGAATGGACCTGGCTATTTAACTGTCCCAGGCCCGAAGAAGGTGCGGGCGCTCTGTACGGATGGGGGCGCCACTGTTACCTAAGCCCGGAATCGCCGGGCTTCTGGTTGGTTGCCCCGCCTCCAGCCTGACCGCCCGAGAGCATCTCCATCTTTAAAGACCTTTCCAAGGTCCCAGGTCTTTCACGAAGGCAATGCAAGGGTCTACCTCAGCCCAACTTCCTCCCTCAAAAGTGTCTGGAATTGGAGGCTTGACCTCGGTCCGCCCCAGCCCTGCCAGCTACGCCCTGGCTCCCTCCTGTCTTTTAGGGTCAGGGGTCCCGTTCTCAGTTGCCCTTTTTTATCTCTGAATTCAGGACCAAAGGCACGCGTGTGCATGGCAGAGCCCCCAGACTGACAATGCGGAGGCCTAGGCTGGTCTGCACCGTCTGCTCACGAGCTCCGTGGCCTTGGGGCAGGGGCCTGGCTCCCAGCAGCCGAGTGGCGCGTTTGGTGAGCACGCAACACGCCCCTCCACTGGGCCGCAAGTGTCGCTGTGCCAGCTTCTGGACCCTGATAGTCATCCTCCCCAACGTGGGGAGAAGGTGGAGCAGAGTGCAGAAAAAGTGAAGAAGACTTGTCGCTTAGTAAAAATAAAACCCTCAACATGTGCAGTCCAGGCCCTGCTAATGCCCCAGGCTTCCAGAGCCCACCGCCAAGCCCAGAGAGCGGGCAGGGGGTGATGACTCTGGGCACACTGAAACCCAGGCCGCAGCGACCCCGCCGCGAGGGAGAGTTGGACCCAGCCAGACTGGAGGAAGCTGCACAGCCCCAGGAGTGGCGGGGCGCGAACAGGAGAATGTATATTTGGAAGGGGTCAGGACCTCGGCTGGAGTCTGGCTTTTTATGCCGAGGAAGCCAGCCGGGAAGGGCTCTCTGGCCATGCTTTCCTGTTGTGTCCGTGTCCCTGGCAGCGCTGGGCCAGGAGCAGGCGGCTGAGCCTGGAGGGACGGAGGCCCTATCGTGGAGGCATCCTGAAGTTAGAACAAGCGGCCAGACCCTTTCAGGAGCCAGCCTGCAACTGCACGGGAATGTCACCTTATTATTCTTCGGTCACAAGACCCACTCCTTGTAAATCAAAGCCCTACATCTCCCCGACTTTTAGTCACCCGGACGAGAGTGGGAGTGAGTTGGCAGGGGTCTCCCTCGCAGTTCTTCCAGGGAGTTCTAATGCCCAGACTGCCCTTGTTGGCCGGTGTCACGCAGCCCCTCTCTTGGGGGAGCGGTGGGACTTCCTCCCGTACAAGCGCAGCCTGGGCTTC